TTCCCCAACAACAAACCCAAAACCCATCAACCTCCCACCAATCCCCAAGAAGAAACAAACCCACAAACACCCAACCACAGTCCCCACCACAACACAATTACACTCAAATGCCACACAACCAACCACAATCACCACCACATTACCAATACCCCGATATGCCTCACACCCAACCACAATACCAATCACAATACCAGCACACCCCACACACAATTTCAGTCTTCCGTATATCCCAATATGGGCCCCTTAACATCCAGCCTTAGCCCTGATATGGGAATGTCGGAAGATTACGAACAAACCGACCCAACCTACCATCAACCACAATATCACCAAACCACCCAACATCCTCAATACCAAACACCCCAAGATCCATTTCCTTTCTACCCACCGTACTCAGACGATCAATGCTACAGACCCACTATGGAACCCCATCCACCGCCAACACGACCAAACTTTGAGGGTATGGGTAACCGACTGTACCAAAACGGATCTTCTAGATATGGAGATCTGACTGATTTTATGGATCCGGACCGCATTGACTTCGCTGGGCCATCGACCCTGCCGCAACAGGAAACGCGACAACACCCAGCACGAGAAAGACGAGGACGGGGATGCGGAACCGGGGGTCATTACCGGGTTCAGGGGATCACTGATTTATCTGTTTTTTTTCCTATATTTTTTTATCTGTTTTTTTTATCTGTTTTTTTATCTGTTATTTTAATGTAATACAGTTGAATGTAATTATTTTTTTTATAATAAAAAATCCATTTTGTTGATCTTGTATCCAACACGCACCGGACAAAAAAAAATAATCAAATTTTACCCTAAAATAACACCTAGGCGCCATCTCACTTGACTTAGGGCATGTCCTAAGCACATAGGCGCCAAGTGAGATGGCGCCTTCCCTTAAAAAATGGGTGCATGCCCCAATTCAGATGGCTCCTCCTTTGGGGAGTCATCTGAAACATGGTTATTTGCGTAATTTTTTCTGAAACGCGGTTATTTGCGAATTTTTTTTAATACATAATTATTCAAAAAAAAAAAAATTCCAAAATCGTCTCTACATCCTACTCTTGTGTTTTGAATAACCTTTCTATTCTAGTTAATTCGAATTGTTTGTTTATAGAAAAAGAAGTATTAATACTAATATTAAAACTTAATTTCTAACTTAATCATGTTTTAAGTACAAATACAACTTTGCGTGCGCAACATTATTAATTTTTTTAGAAATTATTTTACTGTTTATTATGATCTTTCCATAATTGAGAGACTAATCTTTACTGTTGCACACATAAAATATCTGATTTCTACCCAAAAAAAAATCGACTTCTATTTTTCTCCATTCCAAATAATGGGAATCTCGTGTGCTGAAGTTGTATTTATGAAGATAAGATTGAAAGCCTGAACATCTTTGTTGGAAAGTAATAATAAATATAAATTTATAGCAATATAAAAAACCAAAAACAAAAAGAAGAGATAGATAAAAGAAAGAGACATAGATTGCATATTGTATGGTTTTAAACATTCCATTAAATGTAGTTTGCACCAGAAGAGTTGGGTCCCAAAGTATATCTCATTGGTAAGATAATTGGGACATCTCATATGATCCCCCACAAACCCCCACGTTTGGTTTCTTCTTTGGTCATGACCAGGGAAAGCCAAAAGCATAGGACCACTTTTTTCATTACTTTATTATTTAATCATCACCACTTCATTTTGAAACTACAAAGGCACTCCAAAAAAAGTTATATACTTTTCCTATTCGAAAACATATTTGCCCTATAAAGTACACAACATGGAGGAAAGAGGAAACAAGCAAAATTCTAAGACGATACATGCAAATAAGAAAATGAAGATAGAAAATGAGAGTATTAGAGTATCTAAAAGAAGACTAGTGGGAAAAAGAATTGGTGCTCTTCTTAAAGAAGGTAGAGGAAGGTTTTATATACTTAGAAGATGTGTTACAATGCTTATTTGCTCCTAAGATTAATATTAGTAAGTGTTCATGTCTAAGTTTTTCAGCATGTGCAAGTTTAGTTCATATTATATGTAACTAGTACTATTGTATATTCATTATTTCTTCTAAAGAGAAGAGAATATGTCATAGTTACTTTGCTTTTTTTCTTCTTTCAACTTATATATATATATATATATATATATATATATATATATATATATATATATATATATATATATATATATATATATATAATGCGTTAAATGAAATTTCAATGAACAGTTGAAGTAATACACTTTCAAATTCATTTATGTAATTGTTTTTAGTTCACTTCTCAAATCTCAATAAAAGTATCAAAGTATTTGGAGAAGAAGCGAGAAAGATTAATGATATTGGATTGTGTTTCAATAATAATAATAATAATAATAAAATAATAATAATAATAATAATAATAATAATAATAATAATAATAATTTTTCAATAAAATTTTAACGGATAACATATATCAGCGACTCACAACAAATCCATTAGATAAACTAAAGACAGGTCAATCCGTTAACACTCTCAAACAATAGACGGTAAATCCTATTAAAACATATTCAAGGACAATTCAACTTATTAGTAATTTTTAGTGTTTTACTAGTAAGAAATCTATGTTATCGCACGGGTCCCGTCTGAGTTCACATTATACGTCTACCAAATTATCTTTTATAAAGTATGAATTCATTTTTCAATTTGTTAACATTCACATAATTATAAATAGAAGTTAATAATATGCAACAATTTTTAAGCATTGATTCGTATTTATAATAAAATGTATAGTCGATTTTCTAAATTCAATTATAGAAAACAGCAGAATTTTTTATTTAAAAAATGAATATTAAATTTAACAGTCTACGGATAGTATCTAATAGATACGTTCACGTGTACCCGTGAATCTATCAAAAACCATAAAATCATTTAGTTTTGCATTAAAAAACTTTCTTTAGTAAATGACTAAAATATTTATTTTAGTAATAAAGTCTACGTAGAAACATCATAAAGTGACTGATTTTTATGGAATTTAATTTATTGTACAATTATAAATCATAATATGATTTAGTTTTCAATTCAATAATAATAATAATTTAATATATTGGTGACTGTCGAATTTTTTCAATTTCAATTTCAAGTGTAATGTAATTATTTTTTAAATTATCCTAATTTAAAAAATATATGATTAAAGAAATATGTAAAATTAATTTATATTTTAAATTTAATTTTCAGTCAAAAAATATAATATTATTTAAATAATATTATACTTAAAAAATATATATATTTGGGCTCATATTATACTTTAATACCATACTTAAAAAAGACATATATTTAGTAAAAAAAAACAATCTCAAAGCACACATTCAAAATGTCATCAAATTTCATATTTGGAAGAGACTAATAATATTTATAGAAAATTATAATTAATTAATTATTTTCATTATATTTATAAGAAGAATATAAATTTTCTCTTTCAAAAAATAAGTTAGTAATAAAAATAAAAGAATTTTAATTGATGAGAATTAGAATAATTTCTTGGGTGAGAAAATAATGGTAATTAAAATAGTTTTTTTTTGGAGAAGGGAAATAATTGGTATAGCAGTTACAAATGCATGTAAAAAAATTTACACTGTCATTCAATAAGGTTATATCATACTGGTATGTCATAATTTTTTTAAAATTTTGAGTCTAACTTGTGCTTATGCATGATTGTCATTGGTTGATAATGTAAAATTAATTTACACTATCAATACATCATCTCTTTTCTCTAAAAGATAAGACTAAAATTAAAAATATTTAAATTTAAAAATATATAAATTGATTAGTATCAAACAAAAATTGATATCCTTGAACTAACTCATTTTAGCGACCTTAGCTTCAATTTTTTTTCTTCAAAATTTGCATTGCATGCGTCCACCTATATATATAATAGGATATGAAGAATAAAGGATATACGTGCATTTATTAAATTAGAGGCTCAAGAAAATTAATAATAGAATTGTTGAGCTTCATAATAAAATGAAGTTTTTCTCTAAAAAAACAAATAAGTAAATTGTTGAGCTTCTCTATGAAATGAAGTTTTTCTATAAATTATTAATAATACATTATTCTAAAAGTTTGATTTGGTATGGTATTTATTATATTATCATTTTTTAAAAAGTATGATTTCAATTTAAACTTTTATATAATATGTTAATGTCAGTAAATTATTATATATCACTTTTCAAAAAATATGATTTCTATTGTCAGTGATTAATATCACAAAAAAACTCAATAAGTTTTTTATTCCCTTTTATATTATCATTTTTCTATAATAATATGTTAATGTTAGCAAATTATTACATATCATCTTTATATTTATTAGGATTCATTAAACACGTAGAGTCATGTGTTAATATACACTATCCACCATTTGTCACTCTCTTTTATATTATCATTTTCTATGATAATAGGTTAATGTCAGCAAATTGTTATATATTATTTTTTAAAAAGTATAATTTTAATTGCTAGTTTCCGTGATTCTAAAAATTTGATTTGGTATAGTAATTAATATATATATATATATATATATATATATATATATATATATATATATATATATATATATATATATATATATATATATATATATATATATATATATATATATATATATATATATATATATATATATATATATATCTTTTTATTTAATAAAAAGTCAATGTCAGCAAATCAGTAGGTAGGAAATTAGGGTTCATTGAATTATTGCTCCCAAAATATTATTATAAACTTAAATTAGGAGAAAAAAATTATTAAGATACATCCAATATAAACTTAAATGCAGCGGAGAAAATTAGGGATCTATTAAGAGCTATTTTAATTAAATAAATCAAAATGACATTAGAAGTCAGCACAACAAAACCTGTCAAGATCTTTCGTAATTTTTGCATCTCCAGCATTGTTTTAATACTTCTGACATTTAAAGTGAGGACAAATTCAAAAGATGCATTGTTAACCAGTAAAAGGTTAATTACAACAATCTTCTCTGGTATGTGGTGTTTTTATAAGTCAAATAATCATTCCCTTCTGCATCAATGTCTACATCATAAGTAAATCTCAACGTCACTCCTCCTACCTCAGTTGCAAGAGATGTTGCAAAACCACCTTGAGGCCCTATCTTCATCAACCCAAAATATGCATCTGCAATGTATAAATCACCAGTTTTCTTGTCAAATCTTATTTCCAAAGGTCTTCCACATATGTGCTCAGTCTCAACATAGCTAAGTTGTGAGGCAGATACCTTAAGATTGCATAGTTCTGACCTAATTGTTTTCTTCAGACCCTACCTTCAGTCATAATTATTTTCTTCATTTGCTGGCAATTTGAAATCCCTACAACAACATAGACATTTTATCAAACAGTTAGTAGGCTATTTTACACTAATTAATTTGAGGCAGCCTAAATTTTACTTACATCTATATTTCAATAAAATAATCGAAACAATAAAACATCAGAGTTTCATCTCTTTTTAGAGACAAAAGATCAAACTTTCATCTCTTTTCAACAACAAATTTGAAACCATGAATCAAAATAAAACATCAAGGATGAGGAGGGATTTATCGCAGATTTGATGCTGAAATATAGAAAAATTTACAACAGGAAACAACAGCCAACAATTATTCACAGATGATACGATTAAAGATTGAAACCAAAAAATTATAACATAAACAAAATCTATAAATTTTCGCAGCAACAAACAACACATAAATCAAATGCAAATTCAGTAGATCTGATAATCGAACTTAGAAGATGATGAATGAGTAGATATAATACTCTGAAACTCGAAATTGAAATGGAACCGTAAAATTTTACGACAGAGTGAAGAAAAGAGAAATGAGAAGTGATTTTGAAGTAGATGAAGAAATAGTTATGCAACTTTTTTTAAGCCGACGGTGAAGGTCAATGAGAAAGATTCAGCAGTATAAGAACCAGAGAAAGAAAGAGATTTTCCGAATTGGTGTATTACGGCTTTGTACATCTCTTATGTAGTACTTGCACTTGGGGAAATGGAATCATGCAAAGAGATATGGGAAGTTGTGTTTGTGTCTCTCCATGTTCCAAATAGTGTGCATGAACGTGTATTTAAGTTTTCCAAATGTTGCAATGTATCTATTAATATGGTCAGCTTTTTATGTTAATTAAGTTATAAAAAATGGAATTAAAAAAAATATAATACAACAATAAGTCCGGTGATTATAATAGATTGTAATTATTTTTATTAATATTTTTTATGAAATTATATTTAAAAATTAATTATTAAAACAATATTTTAGGGCTTGAACTTTTCAGCTAGCCCATTAATATTCATTGTGATTTATGAAAGAGTTATATAAACTCATATATTCAGAGAATATTTTTCAATGTGGGACTTAAAACCATCTCACCAATACTGCTTTGGTTGTACTGCTACTCTTTCATTTTCAACTTGTAGTATAATATGTGATAGCAATAGATGTTGGTATTGCATTTATTCAACAAACAATCAACATAAGAAATACGTTAGTTGCAAACTCATAACACCAAATCATTACCTGAGACTTAGAAAAGATAAGATAGAAATTGAAAACCAACTTCTCAAAAACATGTCTCGCTATTATTCATGTAAATTCTCTTCTTCATTACCTCAAAACACCACCTTCCATCACACCATTGAACAATAAAAGCATGGCTTATTTTCAGTTTTAGAGATTTTCCCCAAATTCATATTCAATTAAATCACCAAGCTCTCAATCTAAACCAAAAACAATAAATCAACCACAATAACAACACATAATCATATCCATAAATCGAACAAATCCAAACTAAAAAATAAAAGAAAAAAAGAGAAAATTGTGAAAGGGAGGAGCAGAAGACCGACCATAGTTATGGAGACGATGGTTGAAGGGGTGGCACTTCTCGTCATCGGCGAAGAGTTTAAGTGTGGTTGGAGTTCACGGACACAGTGATGATGACGAATTTGATCTGTTGGCAGCAACAACAATCAGGTTTACACAATGGTTTTTTTTCTTCTCCAGTGATGGCGGCAGAATAATGTTGGAAATCCACCAATACACTATGATGAATTTCGACCACCACTTGATGATAAGTTATGAAACAAACAAATAAAAAGAACAATGGAGATATTTCTGCAGAATTTCTATTCTGCCCACAAACTGTGGAAACTTTATTAATTCACTTTGCAACTGCAAAATACTGTGAATGAGTTCAATGACTTGCTTACAAAATAAGGGTTACTCCCTCTATTTATAGATTTAGGTTAGCTTGCTCCCTAAGCTAAAACCCAAGCCCAAAATATCTCTTTACTAAATCAAATCTAATCTAGATTTAAATTCAAATCTATTTAAATCTAAACAAATCAAATCTTCTTTTGACACCTATGAATTACAATTTAACACACCACCTAATTCATTGTGTCTAAACTGTCTATGTTCATCATGGCCCTTAGCTTTCTGAATACTTCGACCTGCACTCCCTTTGTCATGATGTCTGCAATCTGATTCTCAGTTCTGCAGTGTTCCAAATTCATCTTCCCATCTGCTACCTGCTCTTGAAGATAATGGAACCTCATTTCGATGTGCTTACTTCGACCATGTGCTATTGGGTTCTTTGCCAGGTTGATAGCTGACATGCTATCTATCTTCATGGTAATTGCTCCATGATTTTTCCCTGTTATCTCTTCGACCAAGTTCACCATCCAGGTTGCTTGGCATGCACAAAGAGAAGCAGCTATGTATTTTGCTTCGCATGATGATAATGCTACTACTGGTTCTTTTCTCGAACTCCAAGCAATTATTGCACCACCTAGCATAAACACATATCCTGCTGTTGACTTTCGATCTTCAGCATCACTACACCAACTCGAATCAGTGTATCCCACTAACTTGCATTCTTTTCCTTTATCAACTGCAGGAAACAAAATGCCATAATCGAAAGTTCCTTTGAGATACCTTAGTATCCTCTTCACAGCTGCTAGATGTGATACCTTTGACTTCTGCATGAATCTACTTACCATACCTACACTGTATGCTAAGTCAGGCCTTGTATGACAAAGATATCTCAATGATCCAATAAGTCTTCTGTATTGAGTTGGATCAACATCATCTTCATCTGCATCTTTCGACAGTTGCAGTCTTGGTTCTGCAGGTGTCAAAGTTGAGTTACATTCTGCCATCTCAAACCTCTTGAGAATTTCCCCTGCATATCTTCTTTGATGCATCATCAAACCTCTACTGCTCTTGTGGAATTCGATACCAAGGAAATATGAAATCTCACCCAAATCAGACATTTTGAATTCCTTGCTAAGATCAATTTTGAAATCTTCGATCTCACTCTTGCAGCTACCTGTTATCAACAAATCATCTACATAGAGACATAGTATAAGCAATTTACTCTTGCTTCTTCTTACATATACTCCATATTCAGTTATGCACTTCTCAAATTCCTTCTCCCTTAGAAAACTATCAATTTACTTATTCCAAGCCCTTGGAGCTTGTTTCAAACCATACAGGGCTTTATGTAGCCTGTACACCTTTCTTTCTTCGTCATGTTTCACAAACCCAACTGGTTGTTTAACATAGACTTCTTCATCTAAGGGTCCATTTAGGAATGCACACTTCACGTCCATCTGACATATGTGCCAACTGTTGATTTCTGCTAGACCAACAACCAACCTGATTGTTTCGATCCTAGCAACAGGTGCAAAAACTTCGTCGAAGTCTATTCCTTCTTTCTGTAGAAATCCTTTCGCCACAAGTCTTGCTTTGTGTCGAGTTACTTCACCTTTCGAATTCGTCTTCACTTTGTATACCCACTTGACATCAATTGCCTTCTTACCTTTAGGCAATTCGACAAGTGACCAAGTGTTGTTGTCTTCGATAGACTTTACTTCTTCGTTCATTGCTTTCACCCACTTCGAATCCTTTAATGCTTCAGCTGCATTAACAGGTTCGACATCTGCATAGAAAGCATAATGTACCATCTCACCTTCATCATCTATTACATCATCTGATGTAATCACACAATCTTGCAATCTTGCAGGCATGCGTCTTGTTCTTTGAGGTCTGCTTGTACTGGGTATATTTGCTGGCTCCTCTTGTCGAACTTCTCTTTCGACTTGAGTTTCTGGCTCTTCGAATAAGATTCCCACTGAATCTTTCTTGACATTTGCAGTCCAATCCCATTCTTTGAACTCATCTATGATCACGTCCCTGCTGATCACAATCTTCTTGTTCTCTGGATCGAACAATTTGTAGCCTCCTGTCGAATGATATCCAACTAGGATCATTTGACTTGACTTGTCATCAAGTTTCTTTCTCAACTGATCTGGCACATGTCTATGTGCAATAGATCCAAATACTTTCAGATGACTTAAGCTAGGTTTCACACCAGACCAACATTCTTCTGGAGTAATTCCTTCTAGCTTCTTTGTAGGACTTCTGTTCAAAATGTATGTTGCAGTCGAAACAGCTTCACCCCAGAATTCTTTGGGTAAATTCTTGCCTTTCAACATACTTCTCACCATGTTCATGATGGTTCGATTTTTCCTTTCTGCAATTCCATTTTGCTGTGGAGTATAGGGTGGCACCACCTCATGCACAATCCCTTCTTTTTCACATAATCTGTCGAAATCTTTCGACACATATTCTCCTCCACCATCAGTTCTCAAAACTTTGAGCTTTCGACCACTTTGTCTTTCGACCATGGACTTGAACTTGATAAATACTTCGAACACTTCACTTTTCTTCTTGATCAGGTAAGTCCATAGCTTTCGACTGAAATCATCTATGAATGTAACAAAGTATTTGTTACCTCCCATCAAATCCACCTGAATTGGTCCACATACATCAGAGTATATGACTTCGAGATTAGCCTTCGATCTGCTTCCTGCATCCTTGCTGAAGCTGTTCTTGTGTTGCTTCGCCTGCACACATTCTTCACATACTTCATTTGGAATGTCAATTTCAGGCAATCCTGAAACCATATTTCTTCTCTTCAAATCTCTGATGTCTCTGAAGTTGAGATGACCAAGTCTATAATGCCATATCCATTCATCTCTGCTAGCTGCAGTCGAAAGGCACTTGTGCTCCATCACATTTAGTTCAATCTTGAAGGTTCGATTCTGAGACATAGGAGCCTTCAAGATTAATCTCCCATTTGCATCAACGACTCTCATCAACTTATCTTCGATTGACACTTTATAATTCTTTTCGACCAACTGCCCTATACTGAGCAAATTGCTCTTCATGCCTGGTATGTACAATACATTCGAAATTACTGACTTCTTGCCATCTTTCCTCATGATCATAACATCACCAATACCTTCAGCTGCTAGGGTGTTGTCATTTGCAAATTTTACCATATTCTTCGTTGAGGGTTTTATATTGACGAACCAGTCTTTCCTTCCAGACATATGTGATGAACATCCTGAATCCAAGTACCATTGGTCCTTGAATCTGTCTTCATCTCTTGTTGTGACCATCAGCATCATCTCTTCTTCTTCTTCATGTTTTGCCAGCTTTGCATCACTTTCTTGATTCTTTCGTTTTTCTGGACAATCACTCGAATAGTGACCATACTTCTGACAATTGTAACATTGAATGTGACTCTTATCAGATTTTCGACCACCACCTCTTCCTCTGTTTGCAGCACCACCTCTTTGGTTGCCGTGGTGTGGTCTTCTTTGATTCGACACGTCTCCTTCGATTTGGTTTCCTCTACCATTCGATTTGTTGTAGCCACCTCTACTTCTATCGAAATACTTTCCTTTGGCTTTGGTTTCTTTTGCTGAATGTGCCTGCAAGGCTACATCACTCTTCGATTTTCCTGCAGCTCTTTCGTTCATTCTTTGTTCATGAGATTCGAGCGTCCCTTGAAGCTCTTCCTTTGTCAATTTCGACAAGTCTTTCCCCTCTTCGATCGCCACCACTATGTGGTCGAACTTAGGAGCTAAGGATCTCAAGATCTTCGAAACAACAGCTCTTGTTGTTAATGTTTCTCCACATGTCTTGATTTGGTTCACTAGTTTTGTAACTCTAGTGAAGAAATCAGATATGTTTTCACTGTCTTCCATCTGAAGCAGTTCATAGGTCCTTTTGTGAGTTTGTAACCTCACTTCTTTCACCTTCTCAGCGCCTCCAAAAGACTTTTCAAGGATCTCCCAAGCTTCTTTTGCAGATTCTGAATCACCAATCTTCTCGAAATTGTCTGGACTGACACATTGATGAATTATAAACAATGCTTTATAACTCTGTTTCTCAGATTCTGTATATGTCTTCTTTTCTTCTTCTGAAGCGTTTTCGCCAAGCGCTTCAACTCCATCTTTTACAAGGTCCCAAAGGCCTTGACACCTTAATAGGACTTTCATCTGCTTGCACCAATTCTCATAGTTGTCAACTTTCAGAATTGGCAGCGTTGCTGGATAGTTTGCATTCCCATAACTTGTCATCTTGAATTCTTCAATCGTTCTTGATTGATACTTCCCTTGAATCGAAACACAAGCTCTGATACCAGATGTTGGAAATCCACCAATACACTATGATGAATTTCGACCACCACTTGATGATAAGTTATGAAACAAACAAATAAAAAGAACAATGGAGATATTTCTGCAGAATTTCTATTCTGCCCACAAACTGTGGAAACTTTATTAATTCACTTTGCAACTGCAAAATACTGTGAATAAGTTCAATGACTTGCTTACAAAATAAGGGTTACTCCCTCTATTTATAGATTTAGGTTAGCTTGCTCCCTAAGCTAAAACCCAAGCCCAAAATATCTCTTTACTAAATCAAATCTAATCTAGATTTAAATTCAAATCTATTTAAATCTAAACAAATCAAATCTTCTTTTGACACCTATGAATTACAATTTAACAAATAAAACTCGACGGTTCCCAGTGGTGAA